GAATATCTGCATTATAGCAATGAATAGTTAAATTGTTAAGTAAATCTTCTTCAGAATGAAGAAATTGTTCTATAAATATAAAAAGAAAAATTTGTATAATTTATTATAAATTATAAATTATATAATATTACAATATAAATCACAAAAATCATTTTATTAATAATCAAATAATTTTTATAATATATTTGTTACACAAACTGGTTTAAATTTAAAAATAAAAACTTATCAAGTTTCTTCTAAAATTGCTACTCATAATTTCATCTGTATTTAATATAAAAAAAAGAGTCTACCTTATCGCGCTTACCATTGGCGATTTTATTGGTTTAACGTGACTTACCATTAACCCGATGTACATGTATATAAACAAAATATTGCGAATTATGTTGACTTTAAAAAATGGTATACGAATGATAATGAAAAGAACTAATTCGAGAATATTAACCTAATATATTTAGAAATTACATTCTTACATTTGTACATATATAAAAAAATTTGAGATGATTTGGGGGTTATTCACTTGTACTTGTGTATGAATACGCGATGTATTTTGTTGGAAGACATGCTTCATGGCTAAATAATATAAAATATCAATTAAAAAACAAATCTCAATTCCCACGATATGATGACTTTCAAACTTACCTGTAAACAGCATATTCTTCGTAGTTCAAAACAGCTCCGCCATGTGGGCATGCGCCTAAATTCACGTGAAGCATTAGATATATATTTAAATACGAGTGAAAATGATTTCAAAATTACCTTTACGTCCCCATGTAGAGTCGAAACCACTCGGAGGCGAGCGACAATTTTGGTCAACCCGATTTGGCTGCCAGGTATTGCCAAGTACGACCTGTAAATGATAAAAAAAGAAGTAAATATAAAATACATGTCACGCATGTGATGACAATTCATACTTTGGCCATGAACATCATCCTACACGTACGACCAGATTCATTAGGATGCGGTTTGGCCTAACAAAGCGACAGATTAATAGTTGGATCCAAATTGGTTAAACATAATAAAAGTTGGATATTTGTACTCACACCACGATGACCATAAAAATGAGCTTTTGAAGAGAATGGTGTAAAATATAACCCCTGTCCAAGACGCTGGAAAGTTCGTCCTTGCTTGTTAATCCCCACCTTTATGATAAAAAAAAGAGAATTAAAAATTTTTTTGTATATTTTATATAAAGATCAACGATAATTCACCTTGCTAATGTTGAAGGAATTCATGAGAATACCACAGCCAGCACAATTGTTGGATTTGCAAAGACTTTTTATAACAGCTGCATAAATGACCGCGCAATCGTGATCTGTTCCATGATACAACAGACGCTCGTTACCTTCTGGTAGACTAAGCGATCTAAAATTACCACGAGCTTCAACGCCAGCACGATATGACTTGTAGTTTGTAACGATTGTTTGAGGTAAAAAAATATCATATATTGCATCAACTCTTAGCCCTATTGTTTTATCATGGAAGAATAAGCAAGCGTGAATAAATTACGGATTTAAATTTTATAACTACCGCAAATTATTTACGTCACCTTGCGCGTTCTGCTTTACCCAATCTTTAAGAAATTTTTGCTCTGTGCTAGTGAATTCAGAGGTTCCCCTTGGGATTTCTATAAGGTGAGTCATTAAATTTTGTGGCGACTTAAGCTGAATAGTGCTAGGAAAAGATGTAGCTACGACCCCAATAAATACGCACAAATAAATATATATTGTATAAGGTCAAATAAGTCAAATAAAAAATAATTCTTACAATTTAATTCTTTAAGATGGATGAGACATAGATTATAATCGCTGCATTCAATTTTTTTATTACATCTTGAAATGCTACAATATGTCATCTTTATTTTTCTCTTTGTCAACGAAAGGTAGAAATTAGAAAGCTTTTTGTTCAAAAGGTGTCAAAAATGCCGGAAGTTTATAAAATTTTCCTATTTATATGATATGCACGATGATTAGATAATCGGTTATTGTCAAAAGAAAATGAGAAATTCGATAAACTTCCAACTTCTACAATAGGAAAATATTACAATTTCATTCATCATTTAACTTATTTAACTTAAATAAATAATGAGTACAACATGAAATAATTTACTTTTTTCAAAACATAAAAGCGGTAATTGAAGTCCGTAAACCGATACCGGTTTATAACTGGTTTTGCTAAAAACTCTTGGCCAGCATTGTGAGTTTGGCCAAAGTTAACCAGGCCACGGCCGAAATTGAGTTTAACCGGTTAAAAAAGGTTAATTAGCATATGAAACATGAATAATTATGAATAACATATAAACGTTTGACGGTTTTATTCTGACATAGTTAAAAAAAGTAAGTAAAAGTCAAATGAGTAAAATGTGACATAAAAATATTACATAAAGAGAAAATATCATTCTGATGAAATAATTGCGAAAAATATCGTAAAAATATTAAAGACAAGTGTAATACTAAAAAGTATGATTCATTTACTAAAATTATTATCGGTATCGTGAATAGATTATAAAAGAACATTACATTATATTAATACCTTTTCTTTTTTAACAAAAAATAAGACATGAGCGATATGGATATTGACGGTGATTTGGATTCTGAAGATATGAACATAGAAGAAAATAATAATAATAATTCTTCAAATACTTATTTCCTTCCTCATACAACGCAAATAGATTCAGTTATTTTAGAAACGAAGCCAAAACACACTCACGTTTCGTCATACGACTTTTCAAAGCCGTTATCAGCCACTGCCGGTATAAGGAATAAATATATATTTAGATCAAAAATGGGAAAAAACAAGAAATCAAGGAAGAAACCTTACAATAAACATTCAAATCATAAAGTTAGAAAGAAAGATGCCCAAATCTCAAATCCAAGCAAAGATTTAAACTCTAATATTAATGAAACAGAACCTCCACAACCTCCTGTTGCAAGCTCTGACATTGATGTAGTAGAGCCTTCACAACCTCCCGTTTTTAGCACACTTTCCGTTGCAAGCTCTTATATTAATGTAGTAGAACCTTCACAACCTCCTGTTGCAAGCTCTGATGTTGATGTGGTAGAACCTTCACAAACTCCCGTTGCTAGCTTACCTTCCGTTGCAAGCTCTGATATTAATTTAGTACAACCTCCTGTTGCAAGCTATGATATTGATGTGGTAGATACTTCACCAACTTTCGTTCCAAATTCTGAAGATCATAATTTAAAACCTTCACCTCTCGTCACAAATTCAAATAATGATGTAGATACTTCACCAACTTTCGCTTCTAATTCTGAAGATGATGATTTAAATCCTCCACAACCTACTTATATTACAGAAGATGTACTTTTTAAAAAACGAATTAATCAAGTGGAAAAAGAGTATTTAAAGGGTAACGAGTGCCCACTTCTTGGAAGTCCTCCAACAAAAAATCAATCATTAGATCAATGCAAAGAAACTAATGTCGGTACAACTGATGAGATATTTGATCACATATCTCCTAATCAGCAACCTGGCGAAACAACAAATGAAATCTCGAATTCTGATGCCGTATCACCATCTACCAATTACGCGAAATCGTCAACGTGTGTCATGGGAAATATTTTTAGTAGTCCGCAAATACATCCCATGCCTGTATTTGGTAGAATTCGTAAAAAAACTAAGTTCGAACAAAGTGAATTTGGTTGGGGAATTCAAGCTAATGACAATCAAAAAATTGTCGAACCGACTCCTTGCAATCTTGGTTCTAAAAACGAGCTAGGTAATAAACCAAAAGCAAGTGATAATGTACAAAATGTTGTCAACCTTCAGAAAAGTAAAAATGACCATGGAGGAGCAGAAGGGTCTCTAAGTCAAGAATTAATAGTTACATCAACGTGTATTGTTGGAATAAACAAAGATTCTGACCTTGATACAAAACGAGTACAACAGGATGATCAAATTAAAAGTTCAAAAGAATGTAAATGTCAACCAATATTAAGTGGGATATGGGGAATGGGATTTTATACGTGTCATTGCGACGCTTCAAAATATCAACTGGAAAATATTGATTTCGACAATATTATGAAGGAAGAAATCCCTGATACAACAAAACCAATACCGGCTGCGAAGAGTAAGCGCTTCTCCTTACCCTCCTTTCTCGCACCTTTGGGATCACTATTTGGCTATGAAGATTTCGGTCACGACAAAACAAAGCATGATCATAAACCAGGGAATCCTTCTAAATGGGATAATAAAAGTAATCCGGATTTAAGCTCACTTGATCCACTAGCACCCCAGGATTCAAATGATTATTCGCGTCAACATACTAGTACAAATTCATCAACGAATTTAAACCCACACACTTTTGGAACAAATTCACAAAATGTTAGGTCATACGCAAGTGTCTCGCAAAGCGCAAGCTCATCCCAAAATTTCAGTTGGTCAGATAACAATAATCATTATGGTTCTTCGCTTACGAGAAGTAATAGTAATCACAAGACCTCTTTCCTTCCCCCGAAAGCTGTGCGCCTACTTCTTTTATCTATATCATTTGATACTAATGAACAACCGAACCTTGAAAAAGGTCATTCAACATACCATCATCCCATTTTTCATAGATTCAAGAGTCCTAGAATAGATACTGAAAATGCATTGAATTTTATTCATGATTGTATCATAAACTGTTGGGCCAACTCATGGAGGGTTGCGTTGGTCGTTTCTATAAATCCAAAAGAAGACCCTGAATGTCTATATCATTTTTTTAAGAAATTTCGTAGTATGTTTGAGAGTGAAATATTAAGTATCATTTTCATACGACCTGCATGTCCAATGTATTTCGTTCGAAACTTTAATGATCTTGGCGTTGCTGTGGCAAGAGGCTCTCATGGAGGAGAAGGTTGGAAACAAGATTTAAGCAATTTAATACATAAAGTAATTACAAAGGTACTATCAAAATTATTTTGTGAATATATGTTCCTTTATTAGATATATTTTTCCGCGATTTTTATTTTATATTTAATTTATTAAATCAGGCATATCGTCCTAATAAATACGGAAGAGATGATATATTATTCTATAATAAAGATGAACCATACTATGAGTTTACCAATTTTTATAGAGCTAAGATCTTTATAGATCATGTAGATTGGCCAACAACAGAACATTACTGTGAGTATATGCAATAATGTAAGGAGGATTCTTTATAATAATCATTTATTTATAATTTATTTTCAAAATCAATGCTAAATTTAGTCCAGGCCGCGAAATTCCAAGAAAACTTTATTCGCGATAAAATTCGTTTTGCTTATACGGCTCGTGAAGCTTTCACTATTGCACGGAGTCATAATTCTTTTAAGCGTGAGGACTGGGAAATGCCTAAGCCACCGGATGACGTGATCTTTAAAGAAACAATAATGAAGCATGCACTCTTTATGAAATTTACTCAACACGTTAAATTGAAGTACATGCTACTTTCAACAGGCAAGGCAAAAATTTATGAGCATACAGAAAATGATCGGTATTGGGGAGATGGAGGAAGGCATGGAGGTGGTCTTAATAGGTTGGGAACTATGTTGGTTGAAACCAGGACTCTTCTTATGGAAAACGAGAAATCATTACTGATACAAAAGTACAATTCTCAATCATCCGAAAGGTGGATTGTATCGGAATTGAAGGTATTGCGAGAATATGATGATTTGATAAACTTTGATCCTTAATTTAAAAGAATCAAATATGTAAATATTTTGTGATCAGGACGCCGAATATTTATGTATCATTTCAAAATTTCATTATAATTCCCCTCGCTTAACTACTTTGTAGTACTTTAATCCAGAACTTTTTATTTTCCTAATGTATTCTTGTTCTTATTCAACTTTGTAATATCTTAATAATAAAATAAATAAGTAAAAAAACCCAAGATTTATCATTACAGGTTTGCTATTAAATAATTAGGACATGTGACCGAACGTGATTTTATGGTTCAGCAAAGGATACCATTTTTTAGGACGAATCGCGTGAACCAACTTGGTTCTCCGCATTTCCAAAATTCTAATATCGAATTAGCGATCTGAATCTCAGATCTAAATAATTCTGATGCTTTATTTTTATATTTATGATGTGTAAGATTACTATAATAATCTAGCGGCCCAAAAATCCTTAACCGGTTAATAACCGGTTAAAAATTTCTTTAACCGGTTAATTAACCGGTTAAATTTAACTC